GGAGTGCGTGTCCCTCTGTGGTCACTGCAGGAGTCATCCCTTAAATTCCCTCAGTATTTGAACAGTGGCCTCTCTATACATGCGTGTATGTATGTATGCGCACATATATATACATATATATATATGTGTGTGTGATTGTGTATTGCTTTTGAGCATATATTTAATGAGCTGACTTTTAATTCCTGATTTATCTGGAAACTGATACTTGCCAACATGGCAAAGATCCCAACCCCATCCACAGGCAGCATGCCAACTCCAAGCTTCTGAATATGGTTTTAGAACCAGTTGCAGCACTGACAGTAGCATTTACCAAAAGTTCCTTGTGAGCAATGTCCGTTTAAGAGATGTGGATCATCAGTTAGTACAGGCAAGTGTTATTGGCAAATAAGAGATGAGTGATAAAATTCTATTCTAATTTGAGGCAAGTGTAAGACTCCTAATAGCATTGTCTTTGTTTGGGGAGATAAGGCTTTGCTTCACTGAAACATACCTCTAAATTTGGCGCAAGCTATTTTAGAAAATATTCAGCATGCTTCATTTTAATTGCTCCTATTTTTCTCATCCATCTGTAAAGTTGGATTTCCACCGTTGCCATGAGTCACAGTAAAGGAAACCAACTGTTCAGCTACTGCAAAGGAGGAAGGAAAACAGTACTAATACATTTTAAAAACAAAAAGTAGACATCAGTGAGGTCAAATACCTAGTATGAATGGCTTTTGACATGAGCAGGAGTACTTTATGCAAAGCTTATGTTGTCTGTGATCAATATACAGTTAGCAACATCAAAAATTAAAACTGCTGTGATCTGTTTCATGACTTTATAATTCTTCAGTAACTGCAGAAATAAATATATCCTATGTCATTACTGTGTCGCTGCATGATGCATGACTGCCATCATTTAACTAAAGGACTATAAACTGCTCTCAGGATTTCTGAATTCTTACAGACTGCCTAATGAAGTGAATTGCTATGATGTATCAGCTGAGTTGTAACCTGCCAATGTAGGTCCTTGGTGCAATATTGTCAGTCCTTTTTTTTTTTTTTAAAGGAAGAAAAAAAACCCAAAAGTGTTGCATGTTTGCAGCTAAAAATACTGCTAAATACAGTTTATTACACACCAGGAAAAGAAATGCAATGTTCCAATATTTGGGGTCATGTCCTTACACTGTCATGATGTTTATCAGGATAGTTGGCCCTGAATAACAACTTTCTCATCACTATTCACTGGAGTAGAAGATTTAAACAGTAGCCTAGTCTTTGCATGAGCTGTGGTGCAACAGTTATTGAGAGCATGGACATAAAGACCTCCATATATTACTCAGCTAGTATTTTATGAGCATATAATCTCTGATACAAAAAGTGCTTTCATTTTGGTTAACAGAAATATTTGGGAGAGAGGGAGGGATTGTTACAGAATCCTTCCTGGACATTTCAGCCAGCTGTGCACAAAATGAAACCAGCTTAAGGACATCAACAGACAACAAGCTGATCCAGAGTCCTTGCTCTCTGAGGGGGCGAAGTAAATGACGTCAGACTTGTGTGATTTCACCGATCAACCCATTTAAAAACAAAGCCTATGCTTTATCTAATAATTCCCCTATCTCATTCCATTTAAGTGTAGCCATGTCCTTATCACCTAGCATCTGTGCATATTGTCTTGTTAACAATAGCTTCTTTTTCCATCTAAGTTCCTGAGTCTTCCTTTTTTCCCCCCTCCCCTCTTTTGAGAGTGGGTGGCTACTATGGTAACTCTGAATTTCCCTCCTGCTGGAAGTACAGTCTTTTTCAAACAATTGTATTGCTAATATTTAGACCTCTCTGTAATGTTTGCCTCCATTACTTTCTCTCAGTACTTATCAAGAAAAACTTAGCAATGGAAATGTTGAATGGCAGCACTAGATGTTAGGTGTTTTCTTTACCTTGCTCCAAACACAGACACTTTCAAGGATGCATCACCTGTCTTCTTCAGACTTTTAGGTTTATTTTTCCCAGTGTACCAGAGTCTTCAAAATGAACTACTGTAAATCTGTTCCAAAATCTCTAACCTAGATGGCTGCTACCTGGATTTCTCCTTAGGTGTCTGCTCAACTCGTGTTAGATCTTTTGTTTGTTTGTTTTTGCTTGAGTTGGGTTAGTAAGTTGACTGCATCTGCTTTCACTTCTTATCAGCATTGCAATTCACCCTTTTGCAGCTGGAACAATGTCTGCTAACATAGGTATTAAGGCAAACGCTGCAAGTTTATTTAATAGAATATAACTGTATAAGCCACATTTTGATATGCATAAGCTGTCACAGCCTGGACAATTAGAGGTATGTTTCGAAGCAGCCAAGTATGCATATACTTGGGTTTTTTCCACAACTGAGACACAGAAATGAGAAGTCGTGAGTCTCTTTTTTGGTAGGATTTGGAAGTGATATATGAAGATTTAGTCAGTCTATTCCCATGGATTTAAATATGAGACTTGTGACTGACAGTTGTCCTTTGGTGCTGCAGACCTAGGGGATTGGTCATTGCTAGTTGTAGTTTAAGACAAATTTTAATTCATTCTATAAAATTTTGCTTTTTGTTGTTTTGTTTATTATTGCATTGGACAAGAGCAGTTGGCAGCCAACCTGTCTGTAGGATAGTGTTTGAACTTGGTATTCCTGCATACATTTCAGGCTTGCTTTCGATTTGTAATGATAGAGGAGCAGGTTTAATGTCTTGACAATTGACATAGCCCTTAGGTCTGTAGGCTGCTTTTTTTGCTTTGTACTGTGAACCCTTTGCCTCAACTATGGCCTCAGGCAGGGCTAGCAGGTAAAGCTGACACATAATTTTTTCCTCTCTGCAGAGCTTTTGTTGGGCCCGTGATCATCTTTTCTGCAAGGTTTCTGCTGTATCGTCTTTGCTATTTGCTGTGTTTAAAAGACAGCAAGGCAGTCTGGGTCACAGTGCTGGCAACATGGTGACACTCTGGTCAGTGTCACTCCTTCATCCAGTCTTTAGGTGTAGGCCTCGTCTCACCTCTCCTTCTTCTTGAAGTGCCTGTTTGGCTCCTGCTCAATGGGCAGCTGGCGGAGGCGTGACAGGCCTCTCTTTGATAGGCTTTAGGGGGTGTTCAGGAGGAAAAGGAGTAGCAGAGCCACCTTAGTGAGTTAGCTTTGTTGTCCATTTTTTGTTAGGAAATTGAAGAATTAAAGGATTCTTTTGGCTGCTTTTCAGGAGCAGTGTTAGGAAAGTGGAATTTCTTTTCAGTATCTTTTCAGCAAGTAAAAGTATCCCCTGATACTGATTGTACAGCATATATCATGGGCTTCATATATTGGGTGTATTAGTTACTTTCAGGCTGGATAGTAAAATAAAATTACAGTTTGATCCAGGGATTTATCTAAAGAGCTCTAGATATTTCTTGTCAGTCAATTCTTCATTACAATTCAATTGCTCAAGATAATGATCTCTGTAGACTGCGTCAGCTTTAATTAATATTTGGGTGTGTCTTACAGTCCTGGTACATTGAAGCGTACTTCTTTCCTTCTCCAGTTTAGAGTTACAACCATGGGGAGCTCATAGTGGGAAACATAATAGTAAGGTCCAGCATTTCTAGAGCTTTCTTTTCCATTTGCCAACCCAGGCCCTTGACTTTGAAAGCCAATTTTTATCTAGGGTCATCAATAATTACTGCAAAACTTATGAAGAAAGATGGAGGAGGCTTCAAAAGCACTAAAAAAGTCTTCAGTGGGCAGTTGCAGATAGGCCCAGATGATTTGAGAATATGACTGTGGTTTGCTCTAGAAATAATTTGACCCAATAGTTATTAATCAAGGAAGCTGAAGAGCTTTTAGATCATCAAACAGAATTCTAACTAAACATTGAACCTGGTTACAGACTACCATCCACTTTTTCAGCTTTTTGATCTCCGAGTATCTCTTTTCTTGTAGGTAAGAAGAATATTGGAAGTTGTGCATTCCTCAGGTGGAACATCTATAGCATTACTTATTATTTGAATAGTTCAAGATTCTTTCTTTAACAATAGCACATTATAAAAGCGAAACAAAATATGAGATAATTTATATTTGGAGTGCTGCCTGGGATAGGTGCCTGTACAGTGATTCCTTCCTCTTTCTGCTTGTTGCTTCATGAGTCATTATTCTCTGCCCACTAGTGGACTGGTCTGTCTCTTTGTCAGTCCCCCAGACCATCTGCTTCAAGGAGGACCAAAACAGCAAGCACAGAGGGGATCTTTGTACCCGCATCCCTTGGCCCCAGGCTGATGTAATCAGCTAGGAAAATTAACCTCCCGCCTGGCTGGTGCACCAAGCCTGATGACTAGCTCCACTCTAACTAAAATGGGACTCTGGGACCTGTTATGTGTGTGTTTGTGTGCACAGATGTTTGTGTGGGTGAGCCTAAAGATAGCTGAAAGACGACAACTAGGAAGAGCTTGCAGCATAGCCCAGGAGGCCACTTTGTCCTGCACTTGACATACAATTCCTGTTCTTCTCTTACGTGTTTTGGAATGATTTTTTTTGCACTAGATTTAGGACATATTTCACATGAGTCAGACTTGCAACATTCACTTTTGAAAGCTTTCCCAGTACAAGCTAAGTACCAACACTATGATTATTCCTTATATTATGACCTGAGACAATCATGTCAGAAACCTCACAGGTAGCTTTGTCTTTGGTGGTGATGGTGATGATTCTGACTCTTTCAAATACATATTTTCAAAGCTACTTCAACTACAGTTTTTCTTTCAATTTATGAGGTTCTCTGAAGACCTCACTTCCAGTATCTTGAAGACTGAAGGTCAAATGTTTGTGTTTTCCTGAAAATCTAGTAAATATTGGTGTATAGAATGATCAGGTAACATCCACCTCCTTATATGACTCTCTGCCAGTGTCTACTTGTTGGTATCACCTTTATATCTTTCCATACTAAAATCTTATTTCAGGAAAAAGGAAAAGCAATAGCAGAAGTTCTTTAAGAGAAGATTCACCGCTGATCTGGTGTTGCAGGAAAATGTGCAGCCTGCAAAATTAATTCTAACTACTGTATCAGTCCTTGACCTTACAGTGAAAATCTCTGCTGTTGGTCTTGCTGTTGACTAATTCAATAGATTAATTAGATTTCTCCTCTCCCAATTTCTGTTCTTAAAAGGAACTGAGATGGACTTGTTCGGTAAACATCTTTAGCCATGTAAAAAATTCATATTGTCATTCATTCTCACTAATGTTTTAAATCACTGAGCTATTTTCCTTTGTTGAGACTGCATTTAATATTTATGAGAAGTAAAAGAAGAAAAATCCTGTCATCTTTTCAAGATGTTTATTCTTTGTCAATTACTGACTGTGCTGGTTTATAGCTTTGCTTCCAGAATCAAGAAGAAAACAATTGCTTAATTATATTTTATTCTTAGTGGAAATCAGATCTTTGAGTTGACTATATTAGTGTATTGTACTAGAGCTGCAAGAGGTCAAGTTTAAAAATGGACATCTATGAATCCTGCCTTGGAAGAGTCTATATTTGCTATGTAGAGTTTTGCAAATATACAGACTTTTCGCTACGCTGTTTCAGGAAAAGTTTACCCTGTTTCTATTGATTCTTTAATAATATCTTAATATAATATTATTCTTAACATCAGTGGTGTCTGTTCTTTAAAGAAAAGATAGAAATGGTACCTATGCTGGCAAAACCCTCAGGTTATTTGAATAATGGTCTGGGCATGACAATCTTGACTGCACATATAGGAAAGGACTCGCCCAATGGAGGTCTTTATTACTTACGTGAGGCACAGCATGAGTCTGCAGTTGTTTCTGCTCACTCAGTGCTTTGTCTGAGTAGGGAGTTGAAGGACATGATTGTAAAAAGATTCTGAGAATTTTCTGCAGAGCACTTCTCAGTTTAGCTTTGTATTAAAAATGTTAAAGTTTGACTGAAATTCTGCAGAGTCAGGGATTTGTATTATAATGTGTTTTGACCTCATAAAAATTGAGATCATCTTCTTGGGTGATGACCAGGTGTTGTAGATAACTGAAATATATCACTGAGACCTACCTTAAGCAAGCTACACTCTATTTTGAGTTGATTTTTCCTTCTCAGTAGTCATTTTGATTTAATATGCCACAATACAGAATTAAATGCAGGGTAACTTCCTGCCAACTTCCCTGTGTCAACTTCACCCAAGCTGTATTTGAAATTTGGTGATCTTGCTGCATGTTCAAAATACTTGAAATTCAAAATATTTTCCCTAGCACCAGATGTTCTAACATGTAGTGTGAATGTGGATAATGGTGGTAGTATCCAGGAGTACAATGAGACTCACTAAAATAGAGGATTGCTGAGTAACTCAGTGTGCACTGCTCTGTCTGTCTAGCTTGAAGAAAACCAGTGGGGCTAAAAAGCTGGAAATTAAAGTTGCAGTTGTCTTATCATCATTCCACATGGTAAGAGTAACTCACTGAAGAGAGCCTGCAAAAATATAAGGAGCTAAGATAAAAGGATAGTCAGCAAAGGAATAAATGCTATTTCTGAAATGGTCTAGGAAGAAGAGAGGAGAAATGTGATTTGGAAGTACACCCCAAAGCTCTTTTTTTCAAACCTTTGCTCTCTCTGCATTAGTTGAAAGCTTGCTACTAGTTTGTTGTTCATCACATAAGGTACACTGAAGATGTATGTGTTGCAGTACTCTGCTGTGATTTTAAGCTTAAACTTTGATTCATCCTCTAAGCCATGGATCTTTCTCTAGTGTTTGAACAAAATTACTGTCAGATATTGCTCTTTTCAGACAAGCTGACCACTACTTCCTTCACTTAATTTATCGTAACTGTAACTACCCTTCCTAAACTTCTTCTTGACTGGATTATTGCAGCACTTCATAACTGATTACCCAGTAAATTCAGCTGAAGTTTCAGACACTACAAAAAAACCCAAAGGACTGCCCTTTTGTTGGCCAAAAAGGTACTGGTTCTTCAATGCGGATTCATCTGTTTCCTTTTGCAGTTCAAAGTGATGGCATTACACACTTGGAGTCTCTAGTGAAACTCCATAGAAAATACTTGCATTCTTCAATCTAAAAACTTCAACTCCGTCTAAATATGAAGGTTTTAGGGATTTCAATGGTTTAATTGCAGAAACATCTTCTGCAGAAAGTAAATACTTTTTTCTCAAAAATCTTGTTGAAGTATAATTTTTCAGGGGGCAACTGTCAAGCAGCCTTAATGTCAAGATTCAAGAGAATGGGAATTCAAAGATTTGGTATTCATTTCTTCCATTGGCCTGTCAGAGCTTGGAAAGTGCTGGCTTAAATCTAGTAGTCACTAATGCACCCTTAGGGTAGAAGAGCTGCTCTGTCATCAGGCAGTGCTTTTAATTCAGTAGTATTGCACAGGGAGAGTTAGACTGCAAGCAGGGCAGATTGATTTCTTGGAGTTTGATGCATAAAAGTTTCTGCATTTAGATTGCTTTGTGTGCTGGGGGGGATTGGTACTAACCATGCTCAGTTGCCATCTATGAAGTACAGGGTTGTATTGGTTCAGCACTGGTTGAAACTATTACACATTATTTATAAAAGTAGATGCTGGCATTTAGTTCAATTTTCACTGCTTTTTGACAAATCTCTAGTTAATCACATGGAGAAATTGTGTATGAGGAAGAAAGGCATTTGCTAATAAAAACAAGGCCTTGCTGTAGCCCCTCTCAGGGTAAAGATCTTTTTCTGTGATTGTCAACACTTCGCCGAGAAAAATCAGTCTCTTTACCTCTCTGCATAAATAAATACATAGATTGGGAGTAATGGGATAGGATTGTCTAATTTGTCTGTTCTTTTGGGGGCTTTTCAAATTCACATAAAAAGTAATTTTGCTGTATGGTCTAATTCTTTTTCTATATCACTAGGAAAAGGGTGTGATGACTTTATCTAGCGCTCTACTTTCTTGTTTCTTTACCAAAAAAAAAAAAAGCCAAATACACATAGTCTATTCAAACAAGATGTAGAGATTTTATTCACCAGTTAGTGGGAGATATCCATCAGTCTTATGCTTTCTTCCTTTCTAATTTTCAGATGTATATCACCAACACAGTAAAAGCCAGAGGAACAAGGCTTGCAAAACCTGTTCTGTGTTTGGGCTTAATGTGCTTGGCTTTCCTCACTGGAATCAACAGAGTAGCAGAGTATCGAAATCACTGGTCAGATGTAATAGCAGGATTTATAATCGGAGTATCTATAGCAGTATTTTTGGTAAGTGTGTATCTGTGTCACTTCTGTTTGAAAAAATCAGTGTATAACTTTGTATCTTTTAAAAAAAAATATTGGTAGCCTTGACTTCTCAGACAATTAAATGACAAAAGAGGTGTTTCTAATTTTTGTTTTTAATTAATTATCAGTTTCCTTAGTTGTATTTACATACACTTAGAAATGTGAAGTCAAGAAAGGACTGATAAAATGATCTGACTTCCTTATAAACTAGTTTGTAGCATTTCAACCAATAATTTTTGCATCAAGCCCCACTTTAAGCAAGTGTTTATCCTTCAGAATAACATCTAGTTATGATTTCATGTATAAAGTATTAAATTCAGTATAGTGATACCTACACTCATCAGAGAATAAGTAGCATTTCCTTCCCAGCTTTAAAGTAACCGTCTGAGTTTCTTTCATGCTAATTCAGGTTTACATTGAAATTTTATGTTATTCTGTATCAAAAAATCCTTTTTTAGCCTTTTCCTTTTCTGGAACTGTGTTCCAAAACGAGATCGTTAGTCACAGTTCACAATGACTAGTGTCTGTGTCAGAAAGCTGCTGCTAATCTATTAATCACCTTCACTTATAACTTCAGTGCAAGACTACGGCATAGAATAGTCACTGCTGTTTACTTCCTGCAAGTTTGTCTGCCTGGCAGCTTGTAATAGTACTAAATACACCTTTGAATTTTTTCCCCCATGAAAACACTTTTGAGCTTGATTCTTGGATCTCAAGGTCTTGATCTCAAGATCTTGAATCTGAAGACTTGGCTTGGCTGAGGACTCTCACAGGGACAGCTGAGGTGGGTGTTTTCACTCCTCTGAGAAATGTGAGGGCAGCTTTAGGTCTCCTTTAAAATATACCTGCTCACACTTCCAAACGTTGCCTTCCACGCAAGGTGTCTAGGAGTTATATTTGGTTGTTCATTTTTAAGAAGTATTTCCATCCTGTTTGTGCTGCTAAAGTCATAAAAGAGAACAGAATAGAAAAGAAATCTGTCCCAGCATTTTTTCTTATATTTTGTCATGTATGTTGCATAAACTCCTTTGAGTAGCGTGACATCAAATTTAGTTGTGTTTTGAACAAAATGCAAATGGGCAAACATTACTGCTCGGCTGAGTGTCTGAATTAGTAGAAACACTAACAAACTGGTATATATCACATTCCTAAATCCCTGTGTGAGTCACTGCTGCCCTGAGCAGATTTAGGGATTGGTTTGAACTTGGGGATGGTCCTTGCCTTCTTATTTTCCTTTTCTCACTCTCCATTTGAGAAAGTCTTTGCTGGTCAAAACTTAGATGGTACTGGCCCTTCATAGGAATTTAAGATTATTGCTGTATTTTGCTGCATGTGCTCTGCACATCTATTCATGACATTGCTAATAATTGGTATTCTATTATTCAGCTTCGGTAATGGATTTGCTTTTAGAGAAGAGGGTTTTTTGGTTCTCAAATGGTGCATGTAACAATAAACAGGTTGAAAATCTTTTGTCTTGAAATATTAATTAAGGATTTTCTGTAAAACATGAACTTCACATTTCTGTGTTTCTACTGTAAGCTGTGACTAAAGCTGGTGTCAGTTCTGCCTAATTATGGATGTCAGGATCAAAGCTCAAAAAAATGAGCTTTCCTTAGCTATTCTGTTTATCTTCTAATTCCTTCTAGGTTGTTTGTGTGGTAAATAACTTCAGAGGACGTCAGCCAGAACATGAACATTCTCATATGGAGAATCTGGCCCAGATGCCCATGATCAGCATACCCCGAGTAGAAAGCCCTTTAGAAAAGGTAATGTCTGACTTTTTTAAAAGCAATTAAATAGAATATAGCTTTCCTGGAAGAATGATCCCAAACTGTCTTGACAAGAGTGCCAAGGTAATCAGATTTAAAGTAAAGAGACATGACAGTGAGGAGAAAGAAGGGAAGAATTAATTCAGAGACACTCCTTGGGACACTCTTTATGTCACCTCCAAGAACAATTGCTACATATCAGTCCAGTTTACTGCTGTAGTCACTGCTAAGTCTGTGGAATCAGGCTGGGTAGATCTGAGGCCCTCTTTCCTTGTGTTCCTCAAGTAAGTTTGATTAACGCTTTGGCTGAGAATCCACAGAGCTTGAAGTGCTTAGAAAGAAAATCTAATCCCTGAGCCCAAGGGGTTATGCAATTCAGGTACGAGTGGCATTTATCCTGTTTCATCGGGGTATGTCCTCAGGCTAGTGTAGAGCATGGGATGCAGTCCCTTCAAGATCAGCTGTGGGGCTTTTATCATCAACCACGTGCTAGCCCCAGGACAGGGCACCCACTTGGAAACACTGGGGATCTGACATCTGTGCTAGCAGGGCAAACAACTTAATGAACGTGATAATAATAGAGAGTAACATGGGTCATACAGTAACTGCGCAAAAGCCATCATCTCTTGCCAAAGCAAATGGGATTTTGGACTAGGACATGCTAGTGATAGTCTCCTGGGTATGCCAAGACTTTTTGCATGAGTAAGTATTCTGGTGTGTTTAAACTTTATTTTAGTTTCCTGTAATAAAAATTTGTTTTTTGAAGATGATGTTGTACTATATAAGTGTTAGGTAAGATTATGTCTGAACAATTTTATGAGCAAACAAGCACTGAAATAGATAGTGTAACCAAATAAAGAAAACATTTTAGGCATTTTTACCAGGGAGAAAATTTGAACTACTAATGCAAAGTTTGAAAGCAATTCTAATTTTTCTAATGACTTTATCTGTCATTATTTGTTAAAATCTCTTGTTTTATGCCTATGTTTGAAGATAGTAAACAATTCTAGACTGTGTAGGGCACCAAAAGTATGTTTCTATGGCTTTCTTTTAAATCTAAATTACTCCTGATATTTTTTCATATTAAACATAAGAAGAAATGTTTTTAACCACTTCCCAGTCTGTCTTGGAAGTGGTCACTTGGAAGTGGTGGAAGTTGTCCTTTAGTAAGAATTGCTGCTAGCCCTGGCTTTGTATTCGTTTCCTTGGAGGGAAAGATTTCTTTTCAGAATGATCTAATACACCTTTTTGAACCAAATGTGTCTAAGCTACTTCTGCTGATATCTTGTCATAAGGAGGTCAGAATCTCATTTGCTTGAACAAGCATTTAGATGATGAATGTGTATCTTCAAAATAATCCATTCAGTAAACTTCCTGTAAAATGTCAAAACAAAACAAGATGTCAGTTGGCCTAGGACATACCACATTAATAAGAGCATGTCTTATTTATGTGCTAGGCTTTCCTGCAATAGAAGCCATTTCTGCAGCTCAAAAGCCATCATAGGTAATAAATGTACATTCTCTGGCTGCTGAAATTTATTTTTTTTCTGGGGATAAAGACCTTGTGTTAACTTAGTGTTTGTACTTGATTTGACACCCTCTCTCTTATGGTGAACAATGTTCTTTTCCTGAGACTTTGCCTAGGCAAGATTGAGATGTTGTGGGGAAAGCTATGGGAGAGTGTGGAAGGGTGGTGGCAGGAATAATGTTTGCTCTGCTTGAGGATGACCTTTACCATTTGTGAACTGCCCAGGACTCTTATTATATGAACGAGCTTCTTTCCTTCTGAACCCAGATTCCTATGGCAGTAAAGGGTAGCTGTTTGCTGTCATGGAACTTCTCTCTAGATAATTAAATTGGGGACTGTCCGCAGGGTGTTACACTTGGTGAGATCTCAGTGTATGGGTTCATCTTTGTCTATGTTGCAAAGCCTTCCTCCTTTCCAGACAGAGAGGATGAGATGGGAGGATGATAACATGGAGACTTTGCTGTTTGTTGAGAAATGCTTTCTTCTGTTTCCACTCTCAGAAAGTTTAAATTTGAAATAGCAAATAATTGATGAAAAAGTTACTTACATGTGAGTGCTTTAGGTAATGAGTTTTTGTGGATTTTTTCTTTTTTTTAATGTTTAATCTAAAGTTTTAGTTAGAAGCCAGACCCTATTAAATAAAAGGCACTAAGAATAATACTTACTTGGAACTAAGGTCTAAGTTGAGCCATCTCAATTAACTACCATCACTACAAGAATTACTAACTTAGTCTTTGCTTTTTAACTCCCTTCTTGTTTTACATTCTTTGTTCTCCTCTGGAGAGAGAGGGGTGCTAAATAATTTGTGTGCTACTTGCCTTTGCCTATTTTAGCCACGTGCAAGGTATTTTTCACTACGTTTCAGTTAGGGCTGTTCCAGTTGCATATTCTGAAAGCACATACATTTACATTTGGCTTATTTTAAATCCTTTTTTCCTTATTCTCAGTCTGCAAGCTCCTGTGCCAGCATTAAAGACAGCTTACTGTCAGAAATTAGCTACTAAGAGTAGCACAAATCCTGACTGACTGAAGTTATCATGGGCTAAGGCAGTGCTAGCATGAAGCAATGCAACTCTGTTATTGGTATTTAAAAATAATAACTATATGGGTATCTGGGAGTGAGCAATTCAAAGATGCTGTCTTAAAGAATGTCTTCATTAGAAATGCCTACCAGATGGGACCTCACTCATTGCAATTTTGTTATAAATTCACCTGTAAATGAATAAGCACATGGTGCATCACTTTATTTTTGTGTTTCCAGATCTGCTACTTGTTATTCCAGTGCTTTTTCCTGCTGGAGAATGAATGCTTTTGGTTTGGCATGCTTGGCATGCTCTCTGTGCTGCCACTGTCTGAGTTCTGGTGGAGGTCAAGAGCTACATTGGAAGTGTACTTAAATAGGAATATGTGTACTTGTAATATTCTGAATTGAGCTGCTGCTGGTTAATGACAAGGGTAGATCACTGTTTGCATGACACTTCTGTTTAATTGTGGTGCATGCAGATGATTAAGCTGTTCTGCACAGGTACCCACTTCTCATGCACTCAAATAAGCCGTAGTCGTAGAGTGTCTCCTTGAAGAATCCTTGCCAGGGCTGGCTCAGCAATGCAGACTTATTGCTTTCACCTTAACTACATTCATCCTCAGAATTAATGAAAAGAATGAAAGCCAAGAACCTCATCACTCACCCATCTGTTCCTTTTTGTATCCTGTCTCTGACCTTCTTCATCTCATATAAGACAATTCGTGTTTCAGTTAGCTGGCACTCTCCTACAGGGAGAAGGTGCTCTTCCTACCACCGTCAAGGTTAGAGACTCCTGTTCTTTTGCAAGAGTTACTGGGAAATAGGGATATTCTGGGTGGTAGCTGGAAGAGTTTGAAGTTCAGCTTCATCCAGTGCTGATTTTTTCTGTTTTCTGTTTCAGGGGAGACTGACATTATTTCATGCTAAAGTCACCTAAGTTGGTCAGGGCTTACAGAGGGCTCGTACACATCTTGTAGTAGCTGCTGACTCTCCTAGCCTTTTTTTTTTAAATAAGTGGTCTAGCTTTGAAAAAACCGAATACGAAGGGAACATGGAACATTCTAATTGAATATAGATAGAATACTGAGATAGGAGGTTTTAGAAGGAAGTGTTGGCTTAGGAGAGGCACTATGGTTCATCTCCTGTGTGATGAGATGATTACTGTGTCTGATCATCAGTGCTTTCTGTAGCTGTTCAATATTACTTATTTGCACAGTGGGTTCTTTGCAGTGCTCTGTTTGACAGCTAAGCTGCATTTAGCCCCAAAGTCTCTGCTTGGCATTCCTTCATAGTGCTACTTTTGTCAGCAATGCCCAAGTCATGTTCCCAAACACAGTCAACGTTCCTTGTTACAATGAGGTTTCTTATACTCCACCCATAGGACTGACTCTCCAGCATGACTGTGAACTAGAAACAGATAGTTTAGGCGCACTGTCTCTCAGCCATTTCTAAGTTTTAATGGTGATAAAGTATTTGGAATTCCTCTCTCAATATACAGTGTTCTTGTTGCCCGTCATACCAATTGCTAGTGACTATCAGGGTTAATTGTCTCAAAAATCTTGTTGTGTTTGACACTAATTCTTGTTCTATTGTGTATGTGCCAAAGGTAATGGTGGTGATAAAACATTTTAACAACAGTAAGTATAGATATTGCAATGGATTCTAATAGTATTTTAAGACTGGGGAAGCTTCCCCCTTCTGTTTTTAAGGTATAATGTTTTTCCTATTTACTCCATCTTGATTATTCACAAGACAGAACAGCTTCTTCACAGTGTCAGAAAAGGGTATTTTGAATTTTAATTCTCAGTGTTACTGCTTTTTCCTGGGTCTTAAGCATTTTGGTACTAAAAAGTCTTTCATTGGTATGTGCACTTGTGTACACATAGCGTGGCCTAGGAAGTCTGGTCTGATTCCTGGGGCTCTCCAGGGAGACTGATCGCCTATCACTGAGTTCACAAAGATGTTTTAGCTCATCATACTATGGGCAAATGGGGGAGAGAGTTTGTATCTATTTCCGTTGCTTCAAAATATTTTAGTTGAGAAGTATCCAAATACTGTTGTGCTTGATGTCTAAAAGTATACATAGGTATCCGTACAGTGTGTTAATACATTTATGTGTATCTCCAGGATGGCTTGACTAGAGTCCATATGCTTACATTAGCTTATAGGCAGGTTTTCAGATTTCTGTTGTCATAATGGTTCTCTCTTGATAATACAGTACGTTAAAGGAGATACAATACAACATTGTTTCACACACAGAAACACATACCCAGGAGAGGCAGTTCAGAAAAGACCGTAAGCAATTTTGTTTCAATGTCAAGCATTTGAGTTGGCATTCATGTTCTACTCTTCTGCTTAAATCTACTTCTGGGGGATTGTACTTATTTCTGTTTGAATGCAAACTGTGATCACCACATCTAATGTTCAAATAAAATAATACTTAAACATAGGAAATGGAACAATATATTCAGGGTGACCTCCTCAAATATACGTGTTGTTACAGAATCGAGGTATTAGTAACAATCAAGAAGATCCTTTGCAACGAAACTCCCTCAAAGCATGCATCATTAGGTTTTTCTCCTGGATATCAGGAATGGACCGTTTTGAACATCTTCGTATAAGGCAATAAATGTATGTGCGCAAGAGCGCACATGAGTGTGTGTGGAATTGAAGCAAAGGCAGATGCAATGTGGCGGCAGCGTTCTGTGCAGGTCTGCAACGTTTTAAATGGGGAATTTCACTTTAACTCCTTCTTTTCTCTAAAAATGTGATTCATGCAGTAAAAGCATAAAATATACTTTGCTGACCCAGAGAATTGTATGATAACATTGTTATTATTGTATTATAACACATAATTATCATTTGCCTTAACTACTACAGTAGTATTTTTCTGTTTCTTTTAACAAACTCCACTGTGTGAAGGACTACAAACAATTTTTCAAATTCCTGTTTTAAAAAATGGAAAATTCATTTTTAGGATGATGGCTATTTCTGAATATTTCTAATTGTGTTCATGAGAGCAGAACAAAAAAATTTCAGGTAAAAAATATTTAATATATATAATGAAAACTGCAAACCACAAAACAGTTGTCATGGATTTTTTTCAATGCTTTAACATGGTAGAATTGCTTATAAACAGAAATTAATTAAAATCTTAACAGAAGATACACAGATATGGATCGTTTACCCCCAGAAACCTGTACTCAAGGCTTAGCCTTTAGCCTTCATTTTTCTGTTAGTGGTGTGAGAGCATGGTTATGAAGCATGTTTTGTTCATGTGGTGCTGACACCAAGCTGATACTGTCAATTTAGAATGAATAATACAAAAGCTGGCATGCCTGTCTGTGAAACTGCTGCCATTGAGCAGACCCTCAGCGTATTCTAATTCAT